GTGTTCCCCACCTCTAGCTAACGTGTATGATGATGATATGATGATGATATCCGAGTGGCATTTGGTTCCGTAGACAGATCTGCGCTGTGGAACTGTTTACTGAAGAAAGGCGTGCCTGACAAGTTTGTAACCATCCTGAAAGAACTTTACAGTTGCACGTCGGGTAAAGTCAGGGCTTACGGCACGCTCTCTTTTTCATTTGCTGTGACTAGCGGTGTTCGCCAAGGTTGCCTTATTCCATCTTTCCTCTTCAATTTCACCATCGAAGACGTTGTCCAAAGAGCACTGGAAGGTGTCCAGAACTGCCGTGTTTAGCTCCTGAATCACGGACTTGGACTACGCCGATGATATCGCCTTGCTGGGGACGACCCACAGACCGTCCAGAGTGCTTTGGACCGCTTAGTCATGGAGACGTCTAAGTACGGCTTATGCTTCATTCCGGGAAAATGTAAAACGCTGCTCCAGGACTGGCAGGTGCCTGAACCCGCGCTCACCATTGCTGGACATGTTCTGGAGCATGTCCCTTACTTTACCTATCTAGGGAGTTGCATCACGGCTGGTGGCGGTGCTGGAGATGAAGTCTCACAACGGATTGCAAAGGTCCGCCTTGCATTCATCAAACTGAGACACCTATGGTGTCATTGTGATGTCAGTCCCAAGCTCAAGGGCAGGATGTACAATGCTTCCGTCCGTGCAGTACTCTTGAACGGTTGAGACTTGGCCTATTCGCTCGGAGGACGTGAAGCGGTTATCAGTCTTCGACAATCGCTATCTACGAAAGATTGCTCGGGTGTGGTGGCAACACCATGTAAGCAACACAGAGGGCCTAGACTGAGTGCTTAGAGCGAATAGTGCCAGTCTCCAGGACCTTATTCTCCGACATCGCACGTGTTGGCTCGGGCACGTTTTGCACATGCCAACCCATCGCCTTCCACGCCGAGCGCTATTTGCACTCCCAGGGAGCGATTGGAAAATGTGCCGCAGTGGACGGCCAATGACATTGAGAAAGAGCATGAAGAAGGCAATCTCAAGTTTGGCGGTAGTCCGACCAGTCCGTCTTCCAGGTTGGGGACCATGAGATGCTGAATCTCAGTGGCTGGAAACATTGGACGTCATGGCTCGCAACAGACATCAATGGCGTCAATGTTGTTCCGCCATTATATCCCCCTTTTAATACACACAAGAGCACAAAAAACGAAAACCGAATTCAAAGTAGCGTGTGTAAAACCAAAAAAATCGTTTCCCGTTTTTTAAATCGCAGTTCATGTTCTCATCTTTACACATTTTTTCTCCTTCTATGGTTCTGATGGCACAATGTCCGCTAACAGACTGTATATATATATATATATATATATATATATATATATATATATAGGCCCATACTGATGCTGATGTTGCATTCATGATGCTTCTTCACCACAGTTGGGCTAAACCATCTTACACTTAAACTAGGTATTTTTAAGCTGGATAAATTTCGTTCCAATTTATTAGATTGTTCTCCCTACTGGAATAATCTTCTATTAACTTTCCACGTTATTTATGGTAACCGTGCTTATCTTCGTTAACTTTGTTGCGTTTGTAGCATTTTATGAGTCACTTCTGGACATTTTTTTTACTTATATCGGATCCGTAGCCAACCAACACACATCATATGCTAATTTAGGGAAGGGTCATGTCTGCATAGCAGTATTCTTTGATAGATATATTTCATTTGTTACTGTCATTTCAAGTGATTGGCTGTTGTTTGACATCCCTGGGGCGGCTGCGCTTGATGTGCATGTTGACAAGGTGTCTACCTGTGTATTACCCACTACCTCGTCCATACTAGCTCTAGGAGACAGTTGGTCGTTGCTGGAGGGGACGGGGTGCACGGTTCTTGTGGCCGTGTTAGGCTCAAAGAGTGGTTCCATGCACTCAGTGTGTAGCGAACTACGGTCCAGCCACCGCCTTGTGTGTGCATGATTCCCCGAATGCAGCATGCTTGTGTTTGTCTGTGAAGGAGTGTGGACCGGCTCCGTTGATGAAACGTGGCTCCCATTCACATGCCTCCCGGTCTTATTCTTTCGGGTTTACACTGGATATGGGGTGTGTGGATGGAGTTGTGGGTGGTGCAGCGCAAGCCACCCATGGTCCCTCTGTAGGCGCAGGCGTCCTGTGGCTGGGCACAGTGACAGGTAAATCCGAAACCGGATGCCGCCAACTACATATATATATATATATATATATATATATATATATATATATATATATATATATATAGTGGATTCCGTTCGGGTCGCAGCACTATAGATATGGTGTTTGCGGCTCGCCAGTTGCAAGAGAAGTGCAGAGAACGACACCAGCCATGGTACTCGCTTTTTGTTGATTTCACTAAAGCATTTGATACGGTGAACCGCGAGGCACTGTGGCTGGTGTTGGGTAAGTTTGGTTGCCCGCGTAAGTTTGTAAGTTTAATTGGATGTCTGCACAGTGGTATGCGAGCGAGGGTGCAGCTGAGTGGAGAGACCTCGGATGACTTTGCAGTTGTCTCTGGTGGGAAGCAAAGCTGTGTCTTAGCTCCTGCCCTGTTTAATATATATCTTCATGCAATGATGTCCTGTGCTTTTGATGCGGCTTGTGCTTACGGTATTCGTGTGGAGCACCGTATTGATGGTGGGTTGCTGAACATCCGTCGTTTCGGTGCGAGAACTCTAGTCTGTGAGACAACTATCCGTATGTTGCTGTTTGCTGACGACTGTGCGTTGTTTTCACACAACGAGGATGAGTTGCAGCACATGACTAGTGCTCTGGCTTCGACAGCGGCCAAATTCGGGCTCACCATCAACACAAGCAAAACTGTCTCTTTCAGCCTTCACCGGAGGTGCAATCTTCAATATTGCCGCGAATCAGCATTGGTGCTGAAGTATTAGAAACCACCTCCCGCTTTTGCTACCTTGGGAGTGTGATGTCAACTGATCAGCAGCTGCACAGTGAGCTGCGAATCCGCGTGTCGTAGGCAGCGGCGGCATTCGAGAAGCTTGAGTACCGAGTGTGGAACAACCATCAGCTCAGCATTGGCACGAAGTTGATGGTGTACAAATCCATGGTGCTGTCCGTTCTTCTATACGGCAGTGGAACGTGGACGATGTACCGTCGGGATGTGCGAAATCTCGAGCGGTTCCATCAGCAGTGCTTTCGACGGATTTTACGCATCGGATGGGGCGACAGAGTTGCAGACACGGAAGTGTTGCGCCGGAGTGGGATGTAAACAGTGGACTGCATACGTTTACTGAGACACCTGAGGTGGATCGGTCATGTGTGGCGTATGGATTCAACTCGGATACCGAAGCAGCTATTATATTGTCAGCTGAGTATAGGGAAGCGGCACGTGGGGAAACCAAAGTTACGTTACCAGGACATGATCAAAGTGAGCCTCACACGTTCTAATCTTGATTGCAGATCATGGGAATCGAGGGCGGTTGATGGGCGTGCATGGCGCTATCTGATCACGAAGGAAGTTGCCGAGGTGCAGGAAAAAGCCCTCATGCATGTGGAGAAGAAGCGGCAAGTGTGGGAGCGGCAAGGACCAATGGGTTGTACTTCATCCACATCAAGCGCATGGTGCTGTAGCACCTGCGATCGCAAGTGCCCGAGTCAGGCAGGCTTAGTGAGCCATGAGAGAGGCCACTCGGGACCACTACCGAAGCGACGACGGGTCCTTCAGAGAACCTAGGCAGAACCGGCGCAGCGTTTGTAGGTACGCTGCATTCGATTTACTAACCGCTTGATTGCATGCTAAGTCACTTTATTTCTGGTGGTGGGTTTTCAATTTTGTCCTAATGCTTCCCTTTTCAAATAAATGTCCGCCCGCACGCTCTTCTATAAACCTGCACAACTCGCTTAAGCCAATTGTAGTTAATTTCGAGAACATTTTCGTGTTTGTGGCATTTCCGTAAAATAAACTTTCTGACCTCTTGAACTTATCTCATATGCACATTAATTTAAGATTTTTTTCACGTTTCCTTATCCAGTATTCGATTTATTTTATTTGCTATCGTTTGATATCCCCGGCATGGCGGAGCTTGATGTGCATGTTGACAAGGTGTCTACCTGTGTATTACCCACTACCTCGTCCATACTAGCTCTAGGAGACAGTTGGTCGTTGCTGGAGGGGACGGGGTGCACGGTTCTTGTGGCCGTGTTAGGCTCAAAGAGTGGTTCCATGCACTCAGTGTGTAGCGAACTACGGTCCAGCCACCGCCTTGTGTGTGCTTGATTCCCCGAATACAGCATGCTTGTGTTTGTCTGTGAAGGAGTGTGGACCGGCTCCGTTGATGAAACGTGACTCCCATTCACATGCCTCCCGGTCTTATTCCTTCGGGTTTACACTGGATATGGGGTGTGTGGATGGAGTTGTGGGTGGTGCAGCGCAAGCCACCCATGGTCCCTCTGTAGGCGCAGGCGTCCTGTGGCTGGGCACAGTGACAGGTAAATCCGAAACCGGATGCTGTCAACCATATATAGTTTACTTCATTCCTTGGTATTATTCTTATTTGTGTTGCATTATTGCTCCACGTTGTTTCTGATTTCACTGTTTGATATTTCGTGCTTCAAGCAACTGGCACCTTAAAGAATATTATTTTGGGACACGTAGACACTGATTGACTGACTAAGGTCTGATTAGGATGTATTTATTTTGGTTCATCAAGATTGCCGGCAGCCTTGCTAACTCCTCACTTCATGTTCACTACAGGAAGGAGCTCACATGGGGTTCTTCCCGCTCCATTTTACCTATCTTTGCCCCGCAATTCTGCCGTTAACTCCGTGATTGTGTTGTTTTACAAATATGCTCTGTCTGCACTGTGCCAATACTTTCCTGCCACGTATCGGCACTTTCTTTTTCTACTCGCCTGCCATATTAGAACTGGCAGTGTTTTACTTCAACTCGAAAGTATTTTTTCTCTCTTTCAGTTCACCTAAACCATCTCGCCCCTCTCTGACTACTACACACTACACTGCCGATGCCTCTTGTTGCGCCTAAGGCACTTAATGGCCTCTACCTCTTTCGCGAGCCATTAGCAGAGGGTTCTTTTGGCGTTCTATACATTGCCACACATGCGATTACACATCAAAAAGTCGCAATCAAAATTTTGGATAAGCGAAAACTTGGTGTAAGTACTTTTTACTTCCCCTATCAAGTTAATTTCAGGCGGATGCCTATCGTGTCCGAGGTGAAATTGATGCTTTGAAGCAACTGAACCACAAATATATATACAAGCTATATCAGGTTGTGGAGACGGAAAACTATTTTTACCTCGTGGTTGAAGTATTGATTCTCATTGTTCATGAATCAGAACTCTTTCAGTACCTTCCCGGTGGAGAGCTTTTCGATTATATCCTACAAAAAGAGCGCTTATCAGAAGAAGAGGCCCGAGTCATCTTTCGGCAGATCGTCTCGGCCATCGGATATGCTCACAGCAAAGGATTCGCACATCGAGACCTAAAGCCTGTATGATCCAATACCCAAATTATTTCGGCTGCTTTCTTGTAGGAAAATATACTACTTGATAATGACCAAAATGTGCGTCTCATCGACTTCGGCTTGTGTGCCAAAGTATGCTGACTACACCGAATGGAGATCTTTTTTTAGAATACATTCAACGCTATGTTAAGTACTTTCTGCGGTTCATTTGCCTATGCAGCGCCTGAGGTGTTGGCAAACAAGGAATACTGCGGTAGTTCAGTAAGTCGGTATCACTTACATGTGCTGCGTTTTTGTCTGGCTGAACTCTGTCGGACATTAGTAGTTTTCGTTAAAAATGCTATGTCATACATAGGTGCTGTTAATGGAAGCCGTGAATCTGTGACCAATCATGACCTCTGCATGGTTCATACCTTACATGACAGTGGAGGATGATTTGAGCCATTCATGACAGCCGGTCTTCTTTCTCCGTTACTCAATGGCATAGACTGGTTCAGTTCAGTTGATCCGAGCACCGAAGTGCCGTGGTTCCAGTTACCACGATTCACATCGCAATGATAACAATAAATAACACCGGTAGGATAGTGGGGTTAGGTGCAGATAGAATGTAGAGAAAACGAGTGTTAGAAGGAAATGTGTTAGACTAATTGGAATGGAACGAAACTTAACCGGTTGAATGAACCCGGATTCAGGAACGCATTTGACTTCGTGACTGCGTTATATCTCCAAGCATTGGGGTCGACTGTCCCGTGTAGCCACAACGTGTAATGCACGCCGAGGAAGTAGATCAACGGGCCTACGGAGGTGATGACCTAATTCACATAAGCGCTCTAAGTATAACAGCCGCTCTAGTGAGGCAATCGCAATCAAAACACCGGAGTACAGTATACCCAGTAACCTACGATTTCAGACTGCAGCGGTGCTAGCAATTAACGACAGCAAACCAGTAACATCTTGTCAAAGTGAAAGTCTCCAATTTAGCCAGTCTACGGTTTGTGACAGACTTGAAGCGAGTGATTACCTTCGATCCTTACTGCCTCCGCAGCTTAGCTCATGTGTGATGGGAACACTGCGTGAGCAATTTACGTGTTTGGCGTCGTGTATTTGGTATGGAAAGTGCGATTGAACCGCTCAACACCGTTACTTCACGAACCACGCTCCGATGGCTGGGCCACGTGTTGCGCATACCAGCACACCGACTCTTGCGACCTTCGTTTACGCGCTAGGAATGTGAGTAAAAGAAGAGGGGAGGCCAAGCCATGACTTGGTCAAGAGAAATGAAGACCCTCACTCCGAACTTAACGTCGGTTGGTGTCTCCCGATTGCCCGAATGGAGTCTGAAGTACGATGAACACGTTCGATTTATACACTAGTTGACATAGCGAAGTGCCGAGCTCATTGGAGTTTGTGTTGTGCGTTTCTTTGTCCCTGGCCATCTCGCTTATCTTCCCCCTCCAACCACGATCTCTGTCTTGAAGTATTCTATGTTACTAATCAGTATAATACCTGCTGTTTTTGTATTCCACAATGTTTTGTATCTCGTTTTTTCATAACTCCTACAAAGCCATCAGCAGTACACCGGAACGCAATACCGAAGTTTCGTTGCCGTGCAACCACCACCGGTCGCACGTGAGCTATTGATATTGCTAGGGTCGCCATGCCCATACGCAGTCTCGTACCCACACCGTGAGATTACAGGACAAGCTCGTTATTTTTAGGCTACGGGCAAAACAGTTGAAGTGTATTTTTCACCTTCAGCTAATGTGCAGTGGTGACGACGGTGATCAAATGTGTGTACTGCTACTGTTATTGCTGTCATCACTGATGTTTACTAATGGTGGATCCAACATTTATACTCGAAAAATCAACTCTGAACTGGCCTAAAATGCCGTATAACACTGATAGTGATGTAAGCGGTTATCAGCGATGGATAGAATGCATCTTCGCCCCTGGCCCATCGATTGTGCGCTCTCTAGTATGATCATCAATCAGGTTAACTATTTTGGCAGCAGACACGAGTCTGCCGAAGCTAGTTCGCCCACTGCAGAGTTAAAACGGTCTTTTGTGCTGTTGTTTTCTCTTCTATCAGCAGGGAATTTCCATCAGCCTTGAAAGCCGTGTATATTGACCTACGTTGAGGGCTGCTGTCTCTGCCGTTGAAACTTCAAATGCTTGCATCTTTCTGGCTATCGTGCCCTAAGGCGCGTGACCCATGTTGCGTTGCACCAGCATTTAGGCTATATTGCGCATCACTGGGGGGCGTTTGGTGCCGATAAACTTGTTAGTTAGTCAAAACTGTGGGTAACTGTTATTCGGTTGAGTTGGTTTGCAAATGTGTTACATCGCCCTCATGAAAAAGGAAATCAACAGCAGTACGCTGGCACAGACTGTACCGGCGCTTCGCTGCCAGACGACCACCACCTGTCGCGTATTGGCTGAGTATACCACGAGGATGCCCGTCCCAACGCGGATTCGAACCGGTGACCTACGTGTTACCAGCCAAGCGGGTCATCCTTTCGTCCTACTCATCCCTTATCGATTTTTAATGGAATTCAACTCGGGAGGAGAAGGCGAGCCAATCGTTGGATTAACAGCGGTAAGGAAACCCCAGTCCTGCGCACCGGTATCTCACTGTTTGATTATTCCTCAAACCTTTATGGACACCATGTTGTCCTTTAGGTATCATACTTTTTAACTTCATGTTCAACTCTCATATGATTGTATTACTGTCTCTCGTCCCTTGAACTCCAGTAGACACTGCGCTTACTGCGTCCCATCTGCTCCCAATTCTCTCTAGGCAGACATATGGTCTTTAGGTGTCATTCTGTATGCCTTGCTATGTGGCTGTCTGCCTTTTGATCCCAGGAAGCCAGAAGAGCTCCCACAAAAAATTGGGGTAAGTTGCCTCGTCATTGGGTTGCTCACTTAAACTCTATCATTCAGAAAGGACACTTTACCGTTCCTGATGGCCTGACTAAATCCAGCCGTCAGTTGCTGTCTCAGCTCATGTGTGTGGATCCGAAAAAACGCATTAAAATGGAAGAATTACGGCGGCATCCCTGGATCGTTGAAGGATTTATGGGACATCCGGTTGATTTAAACGAGGAAAAAATTCCCGTAAGTTCTGTCCCACTTACAACTGACCTTCATGCACAGACTTCGTCAAGTTTTTTTTAATCGCATTGCCAACACATTCCTGCTGTTGTTGACCTGCACGAAGCTCTCTTTTTCTTGTTTCCTTTCCTCAAATGAGCCGAAGCATTCTTCGGCATCCCAGTTCTCAGATTCCCTTCTTTGTTCTTTACTGTTTTCTCTCTTGATTTCTGCTCAATGATCAGAACTGCTGCAGTGGCGTTTATGCGAACAGAACACATCTGATTCATACGTGGGGCTTGTCATTTCTATCCAACCGTCAGGTATATGATGTGCACACTGCTACCGACTTCGGAAAGGACGAAGCGGCTGTGCATTACTTTTCTGAATGCGTAGGGACTGTCTGCTAAAGTGACAAATCTTCTTTGAAAGTGGAAACATCTCTCGTAGCACTTTAACGGTTCCTCACTAACTGCTCCTTTGTTTTCGTTTATCTTAAATCGTCTGTCAACTGCAGTAATTTCTGTTCCACAGTCTGATGGCGCCACCGCAGCCAGGACAAATGGGCCCACATTATGTTGCCCGACTTCCGTCATAGGATGAGCGTATCGACCTTAGCTTCCAATTCGGAAGTTGCTACCAGCAGTTGTACTGTCCGTCTTCCCATTTCATGGTGATCTTGATTTTCGACCTCGTTTACAGCGACCGTCAATCTATTGTCTGTTTCAGTATCCTGTTTATTCCATTAGTCCCTCAACCTAGTCATCTTCGAAATGCGATCTATTATTTCGTCCATAAGTTCATCCAACCCTAATGGTCTCCAACCCGTTTTCATGTTTTGCGCCCAGATGCATAGTCGTCTTTATTTCCGTTTTGAGGCAGTTATTTCATTCGTTCCTTTTGAAACCTTCAGATGACCCCGCTCAACATGCGAATAGTTTCGGAACTCAGTGAATTCACTCGTATTCCAAAGGTGGAGATGGTGCGACTGTTGCAGCGCGTGAGTGGCTTCTTTTTGTTACTGGTTTTGTGCATTGGCTTGTTTATCTAAACGGATGTTTCGGGTCTTTAACGAGTCACCGCCTCCATGCGTTTTGTCGACTTTCTTAAGGACATTAAGCAGAGTCTAGTGTTTGCTCTGACAACGTGAATAAAGGAAACAACTGTTCAAATAATGGATCAGCGAGTTCTCATCTCACAAGGCAATAGCCTCAACAAATTCTTCAATTCAGCCCGGAGAAATCCACTTGTTACCGGAGCCCGTCCATAGCAGCCATCGAAGCCATTTCTCTCTCTCTCTCTCTGAAGCAGCCCGGAGAAGATTGGTTGTGCGCCGCCTGTACCTCATTTGCTAGCCAATGAGAGCAAGCCAATGGAATCGTTTAACCAGTCAGAATGACCTGTCGTGAAGCCCTCCAGTAAGCGCACTATTTGATCAGTCAGCAAGCGAGTTTTTGCGCATCTAGTAGTTGCTACAATCAGGAACTTTCAGTTAGGTATTTTCTCTCATGAAATACTTATTTTAACCCTATATTTTGGCTGTACATTCTGTCTTTCTGGTGCTCCATACAAGTTCCGCCAGAGGCTTTTGTCTTCTGATTTGGGAAGTGGCTCTATCGTGACCAGAGTTGCTGCATCGGTTATCCGTACTGTCAGTTGAAACACAACAGTTTTTGGAGATGGAAGCGGAGTTATTCAAGATATCCATCTCAGCAGAAGATCTGAAAGCTATTTTCTTTCAACATTAGCAGCAAATCGAGGCGGCACAGCTGCATATGATAGAGACTTTCACTCGAACGCTATCGCTCCAGTGTACATCAGTCCACAATGCTGAGAAGTCTTCAGTTTATGCAATAATCAACGGTGTCGGTGAGTTTGTCTTTGACCCCGCTTCAGGACCGATTTTCGATGCATGCTTCAGACGTTATGAAGATATTTTCGTGTCGGAGCTGGCAAATCGTAATGCTGCGTCAACAGTATGGCTGCTGCTACGTAAACTCGGAACTGTGGAGAACGACAGATACATCAGTTACATTTTGCTCAAAGGTGCTCAAGCTTTCAATTTCGATGAAACAATTTCCAGAGTTACGAAGATATTCGGTGATTAGGCATCGGTACAATTGCCTGAAGCTGTGCAAACGGGACAGCGACAGTCTCATTGCCCAGGCAGCAACAGTGAAGCGAGAGTGCCAGAACTTCAAGCTGAAATTACTTACTGAAAACCAGTTGGTGTGTCTGATACTGGGATGCAGCCTGCAATCTCCTAAAGATGCCAAGATCCGTATAGAATACTCGAGTTGTTGGAGCGAGACCCAGATGTCACACTGCAAGTTGTCATTGCAGAGGCCCCGAGAAACATCAATTTAAAACCCAGCTATGGTCAAGGATACGAAGGCCCATTCGAATGATTTCGCAGTTCAACAGATTTCGAGGAAAAAATTTCCGGCCACTGATCGCAAGAAGACCCCTCAAGGCAAATCACCACCAGCATGTTGGCAATGCGGAGACTGGCATTTTGTTAGTTGGTGTCCATTCAACAAGCATATCTGTAGAAATGTCGTAGACGTGGGCACAGAGAAACTCATTGCAGCTCCAAGCCATCTTTCAAACCGGTTCATGATGCACGAAAGCAAACCCACGGTCGTTTCGCAAAGAGAGTGAACGTCAATTTTACTGACGATGTTAGAGATCGTAGGAAGTACATCAAGCATCAGCTTCAATGAACGACAGGCGCGTTTGTAGCTCGTTACGGCCTCAGACATTACGGTCATATCAGAAAGGCTGTGGAGAATTGTCGGGTCACCAGAAATCAAATCTACCAGTCAGTAGGCGAAAAGTGCATCAGGTGCCTAGTTGAAATTGATTGGTCAAGTCGACTGTGAGTGTCATTATGCCGATGTTACCGCATGGGGAACGGTTTTCGTCACGAGCCACCAGAATTTGAATCTTCCGGGTCTGGACTGGATCAACCAGATTTGTGCAAGTATCCAGCTACACAAGACAACAGCTCCTAAAACTGTAACTTTCGAGCGCCTACGAGAGAAATATGCAGCAGTCTTTCGGGAAGGCCTCGGTAAGTGCACCAAAGTATAAGCTTCACTATCCCTTAAGCCCGATGCTGTTTCAGTGTTTCGTACAAGACGGCCTGTACCTTACGCAGCAACATCAATGATTGCTCAGGAGCTGGGTCGCTTAGAGATGGCAGGGATTATCCATCCGGTGAACTACTCATCCTGGGCAGCACCCACTGTTGTGGTCAAAAAGCCAAACGGTCAGATTCGAATATGCGTCGATTTCTAGACGGGCCTGAATGCTGCATTGACCGCCCACCAATACCCTTTACCGCTCCCAGATGATTTGTTCGCAAAATTGAATGGGGGTAAATGTTTCGCAAAGCTGGATCTCTGATGCATACCTGCAGATCGAAGTACATGAAGCTTCACGAGAATTACTCACCATCAATACGCATTGAGGCTTTTACCAGTATCACCGTCTCCGTTTAGAGTCCATTCCGCACCAGCCATATTCCAGCAGATCATGGACGCAATGCTGACGGGTGTCGATGGAGCAGCCGCATGCCTAGACATCATTGTTAGCTTGAGTGCTGATGACCTATCCGAAAAGTTGGATCAAGTTCCTGGCCCTGTTGAGGAATATAGATTCAGACTCCGACCCGAGAAGTGTATCTTCTTTAGGTACTCGATTATATTTCTCGGCTTTATACTCGACAGGAACGGCAGATGTACAGACGCAGCGAACATCGAAGCAATCAAGATGCCGTCGCTCCAAGATGTTGCAACGCTAAGATCTTTTCTATAACTCGTAAGCCATTACTACCCGGCCCTACCGCACATGTATTGCTTACGTGTTCCACTCAATGACCCACTGACGAAGGATAAACGCTGGAACGAGTCCGAGGAATGCCAGAGCTTATTTGACGAGGTAAAAAGACTACTATGTTCCGACCTTCTGCTGACACAGTACGATCCTACTTTGGAGATTGTGGTGGCCGCAGATGCTTCGAACTATGGCATTGGTGCATTCAAAGCCCGCAATTTCGTAGCTTGTTCAGAAAATTCGGTTGCATATGCTGCTGCAGAGCAAAACAATGGTCATATAGAGAAAGGATCCTTGGTGATAGTCTTCGCTGCAAGAAATTTCACAAACTGCTGAATGGAAGGAAGTTTACACTTCTTACGGACCATAAGCCGCTGTTGGCAATTTTCGGATCAAAGTCGGGCATCCCTGGCTATACGGCAAACAGGTTGCAGCAGTGGACTACTACATTACTCGACTACGACTTTACGGTGAAACACATTTCTACAACGAACATTAGTCAAGCTGATTCACTTCTCTGACTACTGGAATGCTAGCAGCGCCAGCAATAAGAATCTATCATTGCAGCAATCTTTCTGGAGTCGGAAGTGAATCAAGTGTTGTTGGAAACACCCAGAGAGCTTCCGGTAACTTTTGAGATGATACGTGATACATCAATGCTGGTCTCTGTCCTACAACAAGCAGTCAGATTTCATACTACACAGTGGCGGAAGGACAACCTATCTGTCCAGCGCCGTTGTTGCATGTTCGACTCTTCTGGAACGGCGGTGTGAAATGCATACGATACCTTTTGAGTTTTAGCTTGCATGTCGAAGGTATCCAGCTGTTAAAGTAGGTTTCTTGTGCATGCCGAGATGCTAGTTGGCGGAGTTGATCGGCATGCTCGGTCCAAATGCGATCACCCACTTTAATTTTATACTTCACTTGTCTGAGCCTGCTTTCGATTAGACCCGTTGTCTCTTAGTAGTAACTGATCAACTTTCTGTTCTGCGTAGAATCGGCGTTCTTGTATCCTCTTTCGTTGATTGTAATATCCCTACATATCTTTTCCGGGTACCATACTTCAGAAGGAATAACCCGTCTAAGGTGCAAAGTTTTTGTTCCGGTAGCGGTACTTTAGGTGACATTTAGCTTGTCACTTGAGGGCAGACATCCAATACCGCCTGCCTAGTCCATTCTCCTCCTATTTTTATTAGCGTCCGTCAGTAGCAGCCGAGTAATCGTTCTACCTGTCTATTAGATTGCGTATGGAACAACGATGAGTGTGTACGCTTAATGACATTTTGAACGCAACATTCGCCAAACTAGCAAATGAATTGTGAACCATTGCCTGTGACTAGCGTCTCCGACCCTCCATGTTGATCGTTGTGCGGCTGATCGTATGCTGCTTGCAATACATCTCAGGCCATTTACTGAAGGCGTCAACAATGATAAGTTAGTGAGATCCATTCATTGTGCGGAAAAATTAGACCCGTATGCTCTCCCATGGCTACATTGCTAGTGGCCAGGAGGCTAATTTCGTTTTTCTGGACGTCTTACTGACAACTCCAAGTCGATATTTAATTAAAAAACTCTTTTGGATAGCAATAAACATCTGTTAGGGATCAATAGCGCATACTCCCTTTGGAACAACTTGTGCGACCTACGTGTCATACTATCCTTCTGCCATTACGTAGTTTGGTATTTGCTCGTTTGCCGTAGGACTGGATATCCGGTTGACGCGTTACTTACTGTTTCTGAAGTAATCGGAAACTTTCCGAAACTCTCTATCAGTAGCTGATACACTTTTACTTCAACAAACTCGCTGATCGATTATTTCTACTCAGGGTGATTTTCCGATAACCCAGAAACTGCATCAGCTTGAACTATGTCATGCGTAGAAATGTACTTCACCACGAACTCGTTACTGAATGATATGTTGCCCCAAGGCTGCAGTCCGTTCGCTGTGTAGACAAAGAGATGTCCGACTTTGATCCTAAAGTTACCAACAGTGGCTTATGGCCAGCATTTTATGAAAGTTTCTAATCGCTACTACTGTTGCCAAGGTTTCCTTCTCTGTTTGACCGTAACTTCGTTCCGCGAACGATAATGATCTGGCTGAATGGGAAATTGTCTTCTCTAAACCGTTCATAAACGTATTCGTAATGATTGGACCGATAACGGGGTTCCATGTGTCTGAGCCCACCGCAGTTTCCAGGGTAGGATCGTAATGTTTCAGCAGAAGGTCAGAACCCAGCGGCCTTTTTACCTCCATAGATGATCTCTGGCATGCTTCGAATCGATTCCAGCGTTTATTCTCTTTCATGTTGAGGCAATACTTGGAAATGGCCTGACGATCACCATCACTCTTCTGAATATTCAAATAGCATGCGACACAAGTCGCTGTTGGATGTACTTGAATGCTATGGGATTAGCAACTCTGCTGAGTTGGTTAGACTCATATCTGATCGATCGAACACAATCACTACGGGTATCTCAGAAATGTTCTTTAGTCACATAAGGCATGAGCGTCCATTTTTATTCGCGAACGACATCGAAACAGTGTACTCATTTCCGTCTAACCACCTGGTACTATGCATGAAGTATGTACGCGACCGAATGGAATGAAAGCCTGTCTAGGAAGTTTCCAGCAGACTAATCTCAGATTAAGTGGGAATTCATCAATCCTAGACTCAGTCATCAGCCATCACACGCCTAGCAAAATACTGTACGGCCGGCAGTGCGCACTCCATCAGATTCCTGTGGCCCTCCAACCTGCAACTCGTATGTTGCCAATTCGTGGTGAAGACCACTGAACTGTGTTTGACGGTAACGATGGCCGTGACTAAGTTACTAGCTGTGATATAGCGCCGTTCACTATCCACCAACTTGCACCTTACTAACATAATAATAATAATAATAACAACATGTAGAAGACAGTATAACCCCCTCACCGAGAGTCAACCTTATCAAAATTAAACCGCCAACTAACTTATGGCATTATAACCAGTTCGGTCTGCGCACTGATTATAAAGGAACAGTAGATGTGTTGCATTTCTATATATAACATGCAACTCCCCCTACTACTCGTTTGAAACCTCAGATTTTCTGCCATAGATACTGCATACTAGAAGGCTCCATCACTTTGACAGGTGCCTCCACCCCGACCGCATATAATTATGCATTCGATACTCTAGCAACTTTAACTTTTCTGTACATATGCTACACCAATTGGCGAAGGCGAAACAACTAAGTCATTTTTAATGTCCCAAACAAGTAAAACTCACAGTGCGACACTAGGGTACTGCATCTTCATGCGTAACCACCTCCCCAAAACAGATAGGAATGTTTAGGAAAACCTACGGCGTATGTTCACCAAAATGATCCGGAGGTGTTCATCACCGCTTAACTCTACTACAAGGTGCGTCTAAAAAATTTCTGTGAATGGTCTCGGAAAATAAAGGAAACTAAATTTGCAAACAAAATGCCTTTATTGGCTATCAAATTAATCACCATTAGCTAGAACATTTTTCTGGTACTGGTTGTAAAACCGCTGGGAACTCACAGTACATACTTCTTTTGGAATTGCACGCATTGTTGAAATCCGCAGTGTCTGTGAGGCATAGGCCTTCCGGTGCTAATTTAAGACTGGGAAGCAAGAAGTCTGCGGGCGTCAAATTTGGAGAATAAGTAGGGTTCTGTAGAGCAGTCATCTCGCATTGAGCGCGAAACTTGATCAGTGCGAATTCCGGTCAGACATGTGGATGAAATCTCCAGACGTTTCCATTCGAGTTTGACTCTACTCATATCTGTCATCGGGTGTGATACAACCGGCTTTTTTATCTTCGTGAACAGTACTGCTTACACTATCTTTGTTCGTCTTCAACACTTCTGCTATCATTCTGAAAGATTACCGCTGATCATCCGCAGACATTCGTTACACTCGTTTAAAGTTGTCTAAGAATACGCTTGTTGACTTTCCACGAGAAACGGCTCATTCTCGATATCTTCCTTTACCTCTCAAGCGTTTAAACCACTTAATCAATTTTTACGCACCGCTTCTACACCGTGCACTTACACATGAGTCTCTGACGACGTTTCGCCTACTTTGAAGCAAAGTTTCATTTTGCAATCACATGAGTTCTCCTACTGACTCCGTTGGCTTTTTCTGAGCGTGCACCACTGCTTCGCTTCCGGGATTTGCATGGTAGTGGCGCTTGTTGATATGTCTCTCAATGCGCGTATATGCGGGCCCCTCATCCTAACGAGCGCAGTTTTAAACATATGGGACCATTCACCGAACTTTTCCAACGCGCCTTATACTTGCTACCCGAACTAATCTGACTTCTACGTTTGAAGAGTAGTAGTGACCTCACTCTCCTTTACCGTACCATAAATCTTTGATTTTTCCCAACCAGCACAGCTGTCGTTTTACAAACTGGCCTCAACCTATCCAGCTTGTAATGGGATGTACCTATTGTCCTTGCAAAGGACCGGTCTGAATATCCACGTAAATTTGTTTCTACTGAGCTACGTCCATCCAAGGAATAGGCTACCCTTTAGTGAAGGACATGAGAGAACTTGTCTACCTTTAGATCAAATCTTTCCGCACTAAATGTGATTAAACCCTTCGGATTTCATCAGTCCGAGTGCACTTTTAAAATCCGGCCCGAAGTAACTATGCCAAAATAATGTTTCATTAAACCGTTGTTTATTAAATATTCCACAACCCAGTATTTTGCTTATCCATCTTGAACCCAGTTTTTAATGAAGGGCTGAGGAATTCAGACCTCTCAATTGACTGAAAAGATTCACCAACTCAGATTTGCTGTGGACATCAGTGCGCAAATGATCAACTCTAAAACTAAGATGTATCTTGTCTGTTGATAAATCTCCCTGTTTATTGTTTAATCCACTAATATAGTAACATGAACATCGATTGACAATAAGAGGCTAGTTGCATTCGATCATCGGTGCTCTCGCAGTTTACCTCAGGTCTGGTGATAACACCAGTGAATGTGTCCATTGTTTTGATTATGGCACAAGTGGAGGCACAGAACAGCTCAGCATTGTTGCTTCACGCAACGCCCCAATAGGTAAGCCGTGTTACGCCTGGCAGCGTAGGAGTAGGTGGTAGTAGTAGTAGTAGTAGTAGTGTTGCTATTATTATTATTATATAGATGGTGGATGTGATACAGGTAGGCACCTTGTCAACATTCGCCTCAAGTGGTGTCACACCGGGAACATCAAACAACCAACAGAGAATTTGTTGGATAACAGAATATGCAGCAGAGTAAATCAAATAAAGTGGAATACTTTTTATCCAAGTTAACAAGATCATGTATACATGTAAGTCGGTTTAGCCCAACTGCGGTGAAGTAGCACTATGTATGCGACATCAACTTACTTGTACACACACGCACATAAATGCAGCTTGCAACTGCTTAACGTGTAACATATACTCTAGCCGATCTTTCCTGTCGATATTTTCACTTTTGCTTTGCAAGCGTGACTCGAGCTGTCAAGGATGAACAACTTTTTATTTATTTATTTACTTCGGGAGCCATAAAATGTCAGCATCAGTGGATGCAGAACAACAATATAAATTGTCGAGACCAATCGCCGATAAATGTGCCTCATCTCTGCCGGGATTTGCTTCTGTAGGACAAGCAACTTCTCTCTGACGGGCTGGCTTTTGCATCAGTGACCTGTTTAAAGTTCAATGTGTACTTGATACCAACACTTTAGCGTGTCACCAGACATTCTGTTCATACACAGTATATGCCAGGCGTCATTTGTTACTCTCTTCAGGTACAATTTGTGTCTTTCGAACGGTGAGTCTCACAAGTAGCCAACTTGTACACCGATCCCCCATACATCACATTTGTCAGCTCGGTCCCTGCATCACCTGAAACACCATACTGATAACTATTCATTCAAGTTTTTTACTCTGAGGCTTCATCTGGGATCATCATGCTCACCCTATCCATTCTTCCATTGGTGCAAGATGTTTGGTGCCACGTATATTTTTCACGGTCACTCCTTTTTCACTAGGTGTTTTTCGAGCACTGTGCCACCCTTGTATCTCCGTCAACTCATTTTATCTTACGAACGAATGACCCCACATCCTCTTCATCCTCCCCTTCATTTGCATTGTTTAGCGCTCCTACGACTATTTGATGGCCACCTATATGATTATGGAGACCGCACTTGAGGAGGAGAACGTGTTCATCCATCTGCAACCCGCTCGAAAGACGGACAAATTGGGTTCTCGATCTCATTCTCGCCGTCCGTTCGCTCCACTCAGCGCTTCCACTTCTGTGCCTTTGACATTAAGTCAACATAATCATGCTGGTCAGGGTTCTGCCAGCGAATCATCTTCATCCGTCGGAGTTTCCATTGCAAAACACTCCGTTTCCGGTCAACAGCTAGTCATCCGCAACGGAGTACGTGCTCGACGTTGGCTATTCTGGAGCTTTCCTGTTTATTTTCCCCTACTGGTGTCTATACTCTAGGGCAGGTTACCTCACAGTAGCCTGTGATATTCGTTTCATGAACCGGGCATGACGACCTGCAGAAAGCCCTTGGACCCCTGTGTCTTAAGGAAGAAAGTTGGGAATGATTTGCACCACACCTCCCACTGCTCTCCCCATATTCATTGTAATGCCGACGGGAAGAATGTGAATTGGAATCGCGATCTTCTAGATGCGAACTCACGCTCTTTCAACATGCATATCAGTGGTGCGATATTCGGGAATACCCCCATAGCACTAGGTCTTAACCATTCTCTTTTCCACATTGTCACGAAGATTGCATTCCAATATCACGACTTTGTGATGAACGCTTAGCGATATACTGGCACTGGTTCACGAGCATACGGCTTGTGAACACCTACATCAAACCTAGCCGGAACTTGCATAGGCCGTTGTTCCAGACGTTAAACATTCGACAGCGCACGTTCACCCATACGGGTCTAGTCAATCTGGCCGCCAACATTAAATACTTCACACACCCCTTCTACTCACCAGTTATCAGTAATCGTCTTAACAACTCACATGCAATCGCGATTGGTGACGGCTTGCAAAGAAAGTCGTTGCTCTGGGAGCCAGCCCTGACCTCTGTACGTTCATCACATGTATGACAGTGCAGGATGCGCCGCGCTATATCACAGTTGGATATTAATCATGGCGCTCTGCTGTCGTAACCCATGGCTAAGTGGCATAAGTCGTTGCCTAGTATGAGTAAGGTCGTGGATTCAAATCCGGCCAGATTCAACGGCTGTGCGCTCTACTGACGAGTCTCAAGAGGATGAAGCGGCCGTCTAACGCTTTTCTGGATGTGCGGCGGTTGTCTGTCTGAGTCTAGCTGCGACACGAATCTCCACCGATACTTCACACCGTTCACTCCTCATTCTCATCATCATCATTAGAATGGATGCTTCCTTGAAAAACAACTGTGGTAATCTAGGAAATAGTAATGAGGGATAGGATGTAGGGCATCGGCGGCATGTCAGTGCGCTTCACCAGTGCTTTTGCTGCTGCGCAACCATCCACATTTGCGCACAAGCTGGGGATGATACTGCGAATCCGCTCACACTGAAGCGCATTCGAACCGGTACTCTTTGGATTAAGATGCAGATGCCTCCTGCCACCGGGACCTTTTGTAATACCTAGATTGCCTAGGGCAAACGTTCCGGGTCAAAGTGCCCACATCTTGTCAACTACGCTCGGTAAAAAACAGCTGGCTATCTTGTACAGATAAGAAGACATTGTCCCGACAATCTTCTTGCGTGTTTCACTCCCCTCTCGTCACTGTCAGCCTCACCCCACAGCTGACGCAGCATCAGACTCACTCACAGTAGACACTCTGCCTAGGAGACTATAAAAATGCGTTGATGGGGTTGGCTGTGACTCGTACTTTGCGGTATCTGAAACCAAGCGCATAGTAAGTCGCTGGAACGTTAACATCTCATCGGCTTTTTTACTCCGAGGACTTCTTTACGAAACGGGGTCACGTGTTGGGCGCATCATCACAATCACAGTAGACCATGGATTGCAACACTGATCTTCGCTTATCTTCGACCCGATGAGCAACCTTGAACGGCCGCTCCCAAGAACGTGCGGAGCCACTAAGGTTAGGTCGTACAAATTCCCTCTTGATGACTTTTCTGCAGATTGCTAGCGAAATGTTGGCGTTCATCTTCTCTTAGAACTCTTTCATCTATAGCAAACGTACGAGGAGGCTTAGGCCCAACTGGACTGGCTTAGAGCGTGAACTCCACGCGTTTTGTAAGACGGTGGGTGCGACTGTCGGTTTGTTATTACTCACCTAAAGCCAGAGCTTCTGGATAGTACAGTGTCATCGCCAATTCTCACCTGTGGTTGACTGCACTTTCTACTTTATCACTTAAAGCGATCGAGAAGCGTGTGTGACTAGTATCATGCAACCTCCGTGAGGTTCACGATAGCGCTCTAGTGATGGACGGGCCCCCACTTACCCCTTTTAGTCAACTAGAGCGACGGTTACATCACCGAAAAAACCGCCATTGATGCATTGCTATGTGGATCCGGCTTCATTTACAGCGGCTAGTTACATGATTGGCCGTCTTGAACTCCACGTTATTTTTGGTACAGCAATCATACGAGGGCAATCCTTGATAGACAATGCGTGGACATGCTCCCTCCATGTCCAAACCAGCACAACTTCGCTACTTATTCATGTATCTATCTAACAACTGCTCCAACTACTACTCTGTGCACTCCATAGCAAGTTAAGCGTTGTTGTCAACTGTCGCAAACACTGTTCCGTAAGCAACGGCAGTGCACTGGTTGAGAGAAACGGCCCTCACCGTGGCCAAACCGCCACAGTTTATAGGTCCAATCTTTACCCCGTTTTGACCCTAAAGATGTTGCAAGTTCGCAAAGGCGGCTCCGGACTCCGCAGTTGGTGTGCCGATGAAAAGTCTATCGCCACTCATACCGTTGACATGATATTTGAAATGGTCAGTCCTTTATCATAAGAAATAAGGGAGTCATCATGCAATTAACATTGCTACAGCACCACCCTGCTTTTTGAAGGTAGAATCGCCTTCTGAATGATGGGATTATTTCAGAGAATTTACTAACGACTGACTGCACCGTCTCGCTTCTGTCAAACTACAAAATGAATTTACCTGTATAATCCAACTCGGGATCTCAAGTTTCGCGTCGTAAAATTCCACACGGAATCACTCTATAGGTGGGTATACCATCAAGTTTGTTAGAAACGGGAAGATAACCTCTGTTTGCATCTCATGCAAACGTAATTCATGATAGGTGTATTGAGCAGAACGGAGTGATGGGCCGGATCGAATTCGCACTCGACATTGGCGAGCATACATATTGCTGATTCCCGGTACGGGTGATGCCACTTAATCCTTTGCAACAGAGTAAACATACGGTATAGTAACTCCTGTCTCCGACTGAAATCCGTTTGTTGCCTTATCTGAGATACTTTCTCCATGCAGCGGCTGATATCCCTGTTGTCGTGTAACGGGATCCGAGAATTAAAAGCGAAAACTGGGTTGCGATTAGCTTTCAGACTGTCAGCTCAATTTCCTTCAGCTCGGCCGTTCGATTGGCAACGAACGTGCTCGATGTGCTATCTTATCACCAAACATGTAATTAGCCCATATTGTGCCATTCTCCTATCCGGTCCGTGCTGCTTTTGGGAACATCCCTAATTTGCATGAAGACCTGAATCTTTTTGCAGAGGACCTCATTATTTTTTCCGAATACTGTTGTCACAGTAAAATTATTACCAACTACGCGGAAACGGCCGAAGATTGCCATTACCTTTTTACCCTTCGCCGCAGATGGAACCACCAGACCAGTGGTTCTCAACCTTTCCTCGCGACCACGTTTTACCTAATGCCTTCGTGGGTCACATAAACAGCCTAGCCAACTGTTTGTGGCCCGCGAGCCATACATTGCTTTCCATCTATCACAAGAATAATCCGCTTGAAATCAATGATGTAGGAAATCGATGAATGCAAGTCCCAAGCGATCACCCATTTCATCGAGAGTTATTGCGTGGAATTTTACGTCAGAAATTCCACCTCGCCATGGGGTGGCAAAATAGTTCTTCCACCACTGCCTGCGCCAACAGGTGGACCATGGGTGGCTTGCGCTGCACCAACGACAGCTCCATTCACCCACCCCATATCCGGTGTAAACTCGAAGGAATAAGACCGGGAGACAGGTGAATGGGAGCCACGTTTCATCAACGGAGCCGGCCCACACCCCTTCAACATGCACAACAGCAACATTCCTGTTTATCTACATTGGGCATCATGCGTACCAAACGTACGCCAATATGGACGAGGTAGTGGGTACTAGACGGGTAGGCACCTTGTCAACATGCACATCAAGCGCAGCCACACCGGGGTTATCAACCAATAGCCAATGGCTGTCAGGATAAATAGCGTGTTAAGAAAAGGCAGGAGAAGAGCATGCTTAACTTGGTTCCCCTCCGCTGCTTCACAAATAGTATGGGCCGGTCGTGAAATTCTCATTAAAATTGCCTCATTGAGAGTCAGAAGGAACTTCTCGACACAATTAATACGACGACTGGCCTTATAGTCCGTTCAAAGGCTTCGAACCTCGCAGTTGGGTTATCCCCAACGTTAATCTAATCTCAAGTTGCACACTTAATCGATTTCATGTTTTAATTTCTAACTAAAGCAACGTTCAAAACCCCCTCTCACAAAGAAGTGCAGGAACAAATGGGGGTGTATGGCTGGAAACGCAAACATGGCGGCAGTCAGGTATGACCAACACAGCACGGCAGAATTTCGTTAGTAGTTTCTTTTGTAAAACATGCTGCGTGCCGATGAATCATTCTGCAAATCCGTGGACTCATCTTGCACATCGTTGCGAAGCATAGGACGGAATGCGCAACACCGCAGCTCCTACTTCTGTCAGATCAGGAATGTAACGCTGGACGTCGTTTTCAGGAGATTCGAGAGGCCCACAAGTATCTTTCAAACAACACTTCATATCACATCCAGATTCGTCAACTGCATTGCACAGTTTCCAAAACCTGGATGTGTTTCCGAGATTAGTTTTTCTTCTTCAGTTCTGGAATTTTGATAGAAATGCTAGCTTGAAATTCAGCAGCTTTTTCTGTTTTCTTTCAGTTTCAGGTTAAACTTATTTCTCTGTTCTAGCTATGTAAGCAGTTCTCTGCATCCAAGTTTCATCATCAAATAAGATCGCTTATTCACTTTTCCATTGCCACTCCAAGAATACTTTCATCACATTTTTAATTCAAGCATATCGCACTTTTCCAGAGGTGTACAGCGGTATGGAAAAGAAAAACCTAGCGTTCTGAGCTCATGTCTTTACACAATGCTTTGAACAGTCGGGTATTGGGACCTTCGGATTTTATGTGCTTCGCGATATAAATGTGGGAATCAAATGTTGAATTTTTTACACTGGAGCTAGGAGAGTCTCTTACTGGCAAAACATGTCTCTCTATCATGCGGTGCATTTCCTCTGCTTGGGGAGCAAGTTCTTTCATGTTTCATTGGAAGCCAGATTCTCATCTCAACATAACTGATCCCTCGTCCATACAAACCCCACAGTCGTTTTTCTATACTAGTCCTGCAGTCACGAGAAAGGCATGTCTTTTTCCTACAATCCGTCACTTTATGGACACTATTTCTCAGTAGCACAAGCAATATATTCTTATTATTATTTTGAGTGCTCGATCGTTCACCAAGGCTGATGTACGCTCAAGTTCTCAATTGATTGTGTTCGTTTAGCATATCCATTCAGATGGCATGAAAGAGAAACTCCTATTTTTATATGAGTTTCAAACAACCACAAATTGTTATAATATTATGGGGAAAAACAAACACCTTTCTGGTGACTAAACAATGGCGTATTACGGGCAAAAAAGCAGAAGCATAACAAATCCCGTCGGATGGCCAAAATGAAAATTACAATAGGGTGAATAGAAAACAGGCACCAGCAGTATGCCGGTACGCAGTACCGACGCTTCACTGCCGTGCAACCACCACGGGTCGCACATGGACGAAGGATACTGCGAGAGTCGCCCGGTCCCTCCGCAGGCTCGAACTCGTTCCCTCGGATTACAAGACATGCTCGTTACCTTTAGGCTACGGGCTGGCGAATAGAAAACAGCGATATAATGAACATTCTTTTGTTGGATTGACCACAGTGTTCAGACAGAGGCATGCAGAAAGATCCAACTTCCGTTGTGTTGGTTGATTCTGCTTGTGCAACTTTCCTCACATTATCTCGTCTGTCGAGACACACAGGCTATATCAGGTAATGTAAAGGCATATTTCAAACACCGAGAAAGTGGGGTTTCGAAAACAACCTAATTTGGGAGGGTGCTCCATGGCTTGCACACAACAAGAGAGTAAAAGTTTCGTCGCCATTCTAGCCGACTGTATTGCGTGGCGAACTTGAACTGGTGACCCTTCAATTTCGTGCTGTGGCTGAGTTCTAGCGGATGGCGGCAGACATGGTTGGTAGGATGGAAATATTGCCATGTTTGAGAAACTATGCAGTGTAGTTGTCGTATCTGAACGTGATATGAATACCTATTAGAAAAAAGATATTTCTGCGCATCCTGAATCTCTTGAAAACGAACTCTAGCGTTACTTTCCTGATCTGATGGAAGTAGGAGCTGCAGTGTTGCGCAATCCGTCCTCTGCTTTTCTTGATGTAGCCAATATTCCCAACGATGTGCAAGATACATTCACAGATTTGCAGAACGATTCCTCTGCGCGCAACATGTTTTATAAAAGTAACTACTGACTAAATTCTGCTGTGCTGTGTCGGTCATGTATCTGACTGTCGCTATGCGTTTCGACTTTTACTCCTGATTGTTTGGACGCATCTCTGTGTGAGTGGATTTTGAAAGTTTCTTCATTTTCGAAGTAAAGTATGAAATCGATTAAGTGTTCAACATGACATTACCTTGGTGTTGGATATAACTCAACCACAAATTTCGAAACTTATGAATGTGTTTTAACGCCTGTCGTCGTATTAATTATGTCGTGAAGTTCCGTCCGACTCTCATTGAGGCACTTTTAATACCGTTTTAACAATAATACCAATTTTACGATTCGCACATACTATCTGTGAAGCAGCAGCAGCAGATGGCAATCAAGTCTTGGATGCATTTCTTCCACCTTTTTATTTCAGCTCTATTTATCCTGACAAATATCCTGTAAAATGTTGTAGACATCTTTCTCAGTTTGTTTATATTATGGTTGTTATTTGAGTCATTGTAATTCAGGAGTTTGGAAACTTACGGCTCACCTACCGGAGACAGTCGCCCAAATCATTTCGAACGCCCAAAACTTTTAATGTGGCCCACGAATGCGTTCGGTAAGAGGTGTTCGTTACTATATTAAGTTTGAGAACGCCTGATCTAGGCTATGCGGCAAGGGAGCAGGTCTTTATTGGATTTTTATTAAATCTTCTAGTCAATTAGTTGCGAATCTCATCCCCACTGTTGTTAATGCGTTCTTTCCTGTCAGCTAGTCCCCTGCAATTGTTGGTGCTGTTTTTTGAAAGAGCGCACAAGTCGCTCGCCATATCTACCTCTTCTCTATTGTGGTGAGTACAATCTTGAGTTGTTCTGTTGAGTTCCAGCAAGTTCACTGAAATTGCAAATACCGCATCCAATGTGATGCTTTCCGAGAGTGCGACGAACAGAAATTCACACACCATGCATTGCAATTAAAAGCCTGCTTCACTGATGCTCGATTTATTCAGTGCCTTTTGATAGAAGCGAGGCACGCATTGTGCTCCGATGGACTCGTTTGCTTTCGTGTTGCGACAAATTTTGGTATCGTACCTTCGGTGGTACCGACATCACCTATTTGTTCCAACTGCATCGCAGATGTTATGTACACATACGAACGTGCCATCTTCACCAATAGGAAAGTTTGCCGGGCAATTGCCCGAGTCATTTTTTACCGACTTCTTCATATGCCATTTAACCAACGTTGGTGCTTTCAGGAAACCCACCATTGGATCTGGAGCATATCGATTGCACCTATTTTTACTGTTTTTTATCAAACGACTACTCTGTCCATATGGTTAAAGAGCACACAAAGGAGAACCTGACATCTGACTTCTCTGACAGCGGTTTGAAGCGAAGCTTAAACAATCCACCCATTCGGCACATTTGCTATGCACCGTATTTGAATGTAGCAATATCCAAATTCCCCTTATCTCCGTCTTTTTCTTTCGGAGCATGTGTGGTTATTCCGTAGAATAATGGTTCTCGTTCTCTCTTCATTCCTTCACACTCTAAACCGTATTTTTTCTTGTCTGCTAGATACTCGTCCTGATGTAATCCCCTTCGTCCATCTTGCGCTATCTTTTGTTAGTACACATCTTCCTGGATCTGATACTTTTGAACTTCTCTCATCCAGGTCAACCTCCCTGACGATCAGCTTTCATCACAGGACGAAAATATTCCACCTGTTTCACAAAACTCCACAGGGCGACTTGAGGGAAGTAACTCCAGTTCCCTGAGTATGTTCGATCGGGCATTCGTATACTTCATTCTTTTTGATAAGTTTAATCTATCCTGTGTCACGGAGGATCATTACACCTGTCCCTAGATTTTATTTCTGCGACAAAGCAGTCGGGGCAATCATCTTCGATCTTCACCCCGTCTTTGTGGATCGCCCTAGGTATCTACTGATTTCCACGGTTTTTCTAGTCTTGAATAGCGTAACTAGATTTGTTCCATCGCATGTGGTAGAATCACTCGCCTTTATTTTGATATCATTTGCTGTCCAACCATGTTTAACTCATTAACTAAGTTGCGGATTTCTCAGAATCCGTATCGCTGTCCGACCTACTGTATCTGGTCTGTAGCGCTTTCGACTCAATCTTGTCAGGCATATGTGCTCAGAAATGTTTCGCCATGCCTACATGCCTCGTACTCTGATATCTGAGAGCGCTTTTGGATCCACAATGAATTATCAAGCGCTTTTTTGACAAGAACTGCCATTAATCAGGGCTATGCCATCTCCTCATCCCTATTTAATTTTATGCGTGACTCCATCACGGGGCCTTACGATGTGGATATTAAGGTTCTGACTTAAGAAAACTGGTTTTGTGACCTGATACGGACGAAGTTGTTTTATCATGTGTCATTTGTGGATGGCAACGTTAGCACTAAATAAAACGTGACAGGTTGCAATAACGCGAGCAGCTACTGGTAGTATTCTCCCTCCGATTTGTGTTCAAGCTTTGGTTGTTCATCTGCTCGATTTTCACCACACTTCCTACTTCTCACATGCAGGATTCAAAATCGCCGTGTTTCAGACCGTATTCCAGAGTGGTGGAACTGCGATCCCATCTTTCCATCCTACGAAATTGCAACCGATGCGTCTCCTAGGGGTGTGAATTAAAACGCTTCAGTGGCGACTAGGCCGGACCTTAACGCCGTTCGACGGTTTTCATGGTGTTCGACTCATTGAGCCTTAACTGCTGTATATTCACCCTTCTGGGCGCATAAAATTTTTGTGAAAAATGGAAACACTGGGTGGTCCCGTTTGGCTCCTGGAGAGGTACTCTTGCCAGACTGGTAAATGATTAGAAATTCAGTAGACTTAGTCTTTTGGCTATCCAACTTGGGCTTGAGTCACCACACTTTCTGTAAAACTAGACGATTGACATGTTCCCGTCCCATTACAGTTCATGATTTGTACTCACTTCTTTGCTTGAGGACCGTAATCCTTTTAACAAGTGAGCCGACCCCAATGGCGTTTGTGTTGTGAGTTCCTTTGTCCATCCCCCTCCTGCTTAGCATCCCTCTCCAATCATGATCTCACTTGATAGGTATAATATGACTCTTTTACGGCAGCCAGGTGTTAGCTCTCCGGAACGATGTCCATCCGTTACTGGGGACTCAGCGGGCGTGCCACCGTTTGTTTTCCTTTTCTTGTCTTTTGTATTGCGGCACAATAGCTGAGGTGTTTTCCACCTCCAGCTAACGTGTAATGGTGATGATGATGATATCAAGGTCTTGGTGCTCTGACAACACTTCAGTCCTTCTACAATCATAAACTTATCACCAGTTCTTTGACACTTCCCGCATCGGCCGCCACGCAACTTCAGGCGTTCACGTCAACTGATCCGGCGTGTAGCACATCGAGAACATATTACTACTTGTGCATTCATCTCTGATTTTCCTCCTGACCCCGTCATAATTGACTTTCCGTGCATTACCTGCCCAAACGTAGCTGCCGATAACTGCAGCTATGAAACCACTGAATTTGATAAGGGCTATTGCAGAAGGCAAGCAAAATTCTCTTGCTGCGATACCCCTTTATTTTGGCAGGATGTGTCCTTGCCTTTGAAAAGGTGCAGCATACTCATCCTGAATGTTTACGGAAGCAGAAGCAGCACGGATAGAATAGTGCTGTCTCAAGTTGGTATTTTGTCCACTGATGAGCTGCCTCTAGGCGACCAAAATGGTGTAAGCTCCCGTAATGATAACAATGAGCGGTTACTTCATTTTTGTGAAGATGCTCACCTATTTCCCGCGAGTATTAACTTCTGACATAGCACCCGCCGGAGAGTGGCATGGTGCTCACCATCCATGAGAGTAAACCGATCGCCTCATGACCAATCAGTGTTGGAGATGCTGCGTACAAAACTGCCGCTCGATTTTGTGCATATATATGGACTCCGACCGTACATGTATGTGCCGACTTGCGGATACGTTTCAGTGGACGTCCGCGACAACACTGGGAGCACATAAGCGCCAGCCAACTGACGAAGGCAAACGTTCTGTATGCGTATCGAGCTACACTGGTTGGGTAAGCGCTCACTGGTCGTACGTTCACGTGACCTTATTAGAGGCAGGCACGTTTTCATGAGGCAAATCAAATCGCCTCTCTCTTTGCAGTCTCTCGAATTTTTCTATGCTTGCCGACATATGACCGCTGGGAGCGAACACAACGAGATTCGCAAAGACCTCCGGATCAAACTGCGTGCTAGCTTAAAGAAAGACCGCAAGTCCCGATGGTCTCGCTGTACGTCGGAGATGGGAGTGGCCTTTTCCATTGGTAATCATCGTAGGTTATTCCTTCTAATGCGGGAAACGAGCAGCAATAGACCTGGTGTTATGTTTTGTGAGAGTTCATAGCCTATCCACAACATGTTAAAACGCTTGGAGCATTAGGCCGAGCACTTTAAAAGGCAAGTTAATCGGCCGGAATAGTCAAATTTCTCGCCAGCCAGAGATCGACCTGCTCCCTGGACTGTCCCTTTGGGTTCGCCTTCTCGCCCAGAAGTTGAATACGAGATCGGACTATGGCAGGTGAATAAGGCCGCAGGACCAGATGATCTTTTGTCAACCCTCCTCAAATTTTAGGGACCTGCTCTTGTTTATGATTTGCGCGAGTTACTGCTGAGGATTAAGCCGGGTTTCGTCGAGGTCGGGGCTGCATCGATCACATCTTCACTTTACGTTAATTATCGGAGCACCGTCCCATATATTAGCCGCCCATCGTTGTCATGTTCCTCGACATCAAAAACGCGTTCAATTCAAAGGATCGATATTCCCTTTGTGAAGCTCTATCAAAGAATGTTGGGCCCGAGATATAGGTAAATATTATCCGAGCGCTATACGCGCGTACCTCGGGTAGAGTGAGGCTTTACCGTAAGCTGTCGTCGCCCTTCAATATCTCTAGCAGTGTAAGACAGGGATACCCGCTGTCACCTTTCCTCTTCAACTGCGCTATTGACGAAGTTATGGAAATCCCCTTTACTGGACATGACTTATAAGGTTTGCAGTTGCTCCCAGGTGAACGACGCCTTGACTTGTAGTATACTGACGATATTGCTCTTATCTGTGGTAGCTCACAAACGTGCCAAGCAGCATTAAACAGATTTACACTGGCTGTCAATTGTTTCGGGCTTTGCTTTGCATTGACGAAATACAAATTCCTTTTCCTAGATTGGCAGGGACTCACACCTACGCTGTCCCTTAGTAATGAGCAGCCAGAAGTCGTTCAGAAATTCGACTATCTAGACAGTTGTAACAGCGCCGGTGGGATAGAAGACGAGGTCACGTATCATATAGCAAAAGCTCGAGGCGCTTTTGCTAACGTTCGCCACGTATTTCATCCGCCCGATATCACTTTCCCTGATGGATAGAGTTTACAGTGCAGTCGTACATCTGACCCTACTGGACGGTTGTGGAATCTGTCCCATTAGATCGGCAGACGCAGACGTTCGACCACCGGTCCCTTTACAGTTTAGAAAATATCTGGTGGGAACACTGCGTGAGCAGTAAGCGTGTTCAGCGCCTTGTTCATGGCACGGGAAGAGGAACTGAACCGCTCAGCGCCGTTATTTCACACACTCGGCTCCGATGGGTGGGTGACATGTTGTGTGTGCTAGCACACCGACTCCATCAACGCGATTTTTTCGCGCCGGTAATGTAGGTGCAAGAATTGGGAGGGCAGGGACTACATTATCAAGACGAATGAAAACCCTTACTTCGAAGTTGGCCTCGTTTGGGGCCCGGTAGGCGATGAACGCGTTTGTGGTTGAAAACTCTTACTGACATGGCTAGGAGTGGCGTTTGGGCTGTGCGTTTCTTTCTCTCTCTCCACCTCCCCCTTGGCCACAGTCTCAGCCGGTGGCCGAGTGGTCTGCACGTTTGCTTTGCAACCATAAGGTCACCGGTTCGAATCCGCTTAGGGGTGGGTGTCCTCGCGGTATACTCAGCCCGCGCGCGACTGGTGGTGGTCGCGCGGCAGCGAAGCGCCGTTACGGCGTATAAGCTGACACCTTTCTTTTTCTTTCTTTCTGCTATATTACATTGACTATGGTACGAAGACTGGTGTAAGAAATTAGGGCTGTGCACCCTAGCTTATCTTCGAATGCGGTTGACTTCCTCATGACACTCCGGATATTACATCTGGGTGATTACCCCATGTTGAGACCACTGCTTCATCTGCACGCCAAGCAGCACACGGGGACACCGGTACAAGCTCGTCGTACCGGATTTGAAGCGGGTCGCTCACCAACTGTTTCGAACGCAGAGTGGTGAATGTATGGAATGGCCTGCCGCAGCACGTAGTTAAGGCATAGTCGGTGTCGGAATTTAAGAAATTCCTGGACAAACACTTTGCCGACGCAAAATATATTGAGCGCACCACAACATAATGGGTCTTTGTCCCTGAGTGACATTAGATGTAGCTACACAGAGCAAACTCTACTTGCTGCTTCCAACCAGTAATCAGTCTCCTGAGCCATTACAGTGTTTTCCTACAACGACTGCATCGAACCAGAGCTCCGCTGAACCAGTTTCTGACAAAAGATAACGTTTGGCAATGGACGAGGGAATGCCAGCAGTCCTTTGACGCAGTTGAAGCAGCACTCACTTCTGATCTACTATTGCCTCATTTCAATCCGAACTTTGAAATCATCCTTGCCTCGGACGCTTCCACTTACGGTATCCGCGCGGTTATTTCCCATCTTTTTCCGAACGGAGGATCAAAGGGTAT